AATCAGCTTGGCCGACAGTGACATCCCTGTCTGATCGCCCCTTCGTCCCTCACTTTCAGCTCCGTTGCTCTAACCATGGCAGCGTTAGTATTCAATGTCTTCAACATCTAGTTTTGCTTATTCGTTTTAAACCGCAGATTTACTTCGTGTGCATCGTGGCCTCGTTTTATCAAGAATTGGAATCGCCGCACAATCCGAGCCTGTACGACGATATGGACAACCAGCAGGACATCGAAACGACCAGTCTGTTCTCTATGAGGATGAACTGAAATCGCCCGAGGACTTGCTTCAATCATCGACACCGTCGCCGATGGTACAAACCTGACCAAAGTGGTGCGACCACCCTAATCATCCAAGTCAATATCCGCAAGCAGACCTGGTATCTTGACCCAGCGTTCCTTCCCCGCACCGCCTTGTTAGTCAGCGACACATGTCCAGCGCTCGCTTTGCACCTCGACTACATTTTTGTAATAAACTCTTTCTGGGGAACTCGTGTCATTCGTATACTCATCTCTCTGCCCAGCGTCTGGACCTGCTTTAGCATGCCCTTTTACGCTCAATATCTATAATGCAACATTTAATAATATCACACAATACTTCAAATTGCAAAGCTGTGTTTTCCCACCACTTCACCGAGGGCTAACCCAAAAGCAATCTGTCCACTGGTGGTGGTTACAGACCAGGAATTATTCGTACCAGATGACCTCACACCTCATTTACCCAGGCATATGACAGGCAGATAGATAACTGTGGTTCTAGCCATTCTGTAACATACGCTATGGAATGCCGAGGGCATGGTCGAAGGACAACACACAACAGCAGCGGATCGCATCCGCGTGAGCTGGGAGACCGGACTTCATAGCTCTGCTCATGAACATCAACTTTGTGCTGTCTTGCGGAACAAATAAGGACTCAAGAACCCCTATAGTCGTCACCTAAGCGGATCTTCTTGCCCGTCCCACATACTCAGAGGATTTTTCTGAGAAGTTTTTTGCATAAACAATCTTGGAGTATTCACAATGCGAAAGTAGTCTTGGCTAATTCAAAACTCACATATAATCTGAAAGGCGTAATAGACAAGGGACAAGTGCGAGAACACAGCATCCTATTGCTAATTGTATCAAGACACACACTATTTTTCTTAATTTGCTAAGCGCCATATCCAACCCACGTAACGTGAGACGCACGCCCGTTGTATTGAGTGGTGGAAATGACAATGTATTCCCAGTCATGGACGTAGCTAGGGGGGGGGGGGGGCGGGGAGAGAGAGACAGTTAGAACTCTCGAGATTTCGCGCACGTATATAGGCGTCCGCATACAAACGCGCGAACATACATAAAGTATGGCTGAACTTTCCCTTAAAAAAATCACAGCATATCCGCGGAGTGAATGATGATGAGTGGGGTGAAGCGTCCGTCAGCCCGTCTGTGCTCCCGTCGATCCGTTTGTTCTTGCTTTCGCCCGTCCATACGTGCGTCAATCCATGTGTCCGCCCATCCATCTGTCCGTCCATGCGTCCATCCATCCATACGTCCGCGCTAGTCTGTCTGTCCATCCGTCCAAGCGTCTATCCATGCATCCGTCCGTCCATGCGCCTGTCCGTCCGTCCATCTAGTCAACACTCCAAGTACCACCATCTCCCATCTCGCATCCCATGGGGTACATACACGCTCTAGAGCGGGTCTGTGCCACCAGTGGCTACCCACCTACATACATACATACATACATACATACATACATACATACATACATACACATACATACATACATACATACATACATACATACATACATACATACATACATACATACATACATACATACATACATACATACATACATACATACATACATACATACATACATACATACATACATACATACATACATACATACATACATACATACATACATACATACATACATACATACATACATACATACATACATACATACATACATACATACATACATACATACATACATACATGCGGAGGAGCGACAGACCCACACCATCAGGAGCTTCGCCCCTAAGGAAAAAGTTTCTGGCTATGCGCTACTGTCACCGGTCATACTAATCTGCCAGATGACTATATGTCTGCAACATCTACTGCAAGGGTTCAGTTTTCCCTTGCTTTAAAGCAACTGCTTCGAATAACCCCTACTGGCAACTCTTTTCGCAAAAGCAATCGATTACTCCCTATATCCTTGTGATGAAAGCGAAGGTAGATCAGCTCTCACAGAGAAGAACATGTTTTTTAGGTGTGAAGCTCCTTATAGCGGCCCCCGTTCGTCCCTCGTAGTCGTAGTAGTAGTGTGTAACAAGTGTTACATTTTGACCTCCAAGGTGGTGCCGGTGGGAGATTGCGTTGTTGAACAGTAAAAAAAAAATCGCAGCGTGCGCATTACCTAAAAGCCGAATGCTCCTGTCTCTCATTCCCCATTAGCAGCCATTGGCATGTACATTGAGCTCTATCTGACAGGAAAAGGTTGCTACGTTATACTCGCTGGGCGTAACCTCCTTGGTTTTAGAAAGGTTTAGCGAGCGTTATGCCGCAGTGCCATGAATACAGTGAACTAGTATATACCATGAACACAGTGGTTAAAGGTGGGAAGTAGACCCTCGGAAGCGCAAGCCGTAAGAAAGTGCGCGTGTGCCACATCTCGTTTAGTCCTTGGAATGTCCGATGGATGGCGGTGCTTCTATATGAGGAATCTATGATGAAAAGAATCGAGATGGTGGTACTTGGAGTGTTGAATAGATGGACGAACGGACACACAGACAGATGCATGGATGGACGCATGAACGGACGTAGGGGAGGATGCATAGACGGACGCAGGGACGGACGCACGAACAGACGCACGCACGGACGGGTGGATGGACGCATGGACGGTCACATAGACGAACGCATGGACGGACGGAAGCAAGAACAAATGGATGGACGAATGCTTCGCCGCACTCTCCATCATTCACTCCGTGGATATGCTGCCATTTCTTTTTTTTTTTTTAAAGGCTTTAGTAAGGCCGCTCTGACAGCTTTCGCGCTGACTGTGCTGTGTGTTCCGCACAGGTCTGGTCTCTTTATTTTTTTATTTTCTTATGTGGTTCACAATAACATTAATTGTTATATTAAGTCCTCCAATATATGTCTTAAGAGTGAAGGCGCGGAATTATGTCCATTTTTAGGTCTGGAAAAGGAGAGATCCTAGAAGATTGGAGGACCACGGGAGTACGCCAGTGCAATGATACCCTAACGGAAACATGGCCCCATATGTCGGTCAGTATCGACCACCTAATGAATGTTTAGCATGACGAAGAGACTAAGGCGTGCAGAACTCCTGGAATCTTAATCATGGAAAGAGATGCCTATCGTAAAAATGAAGAAAATAAGAACTTTGAAGCGCCATTAACGAACAAGCGTATTCTTGAAACCTGAGTTTTGGGAACCAACTGAATTCATTCGCTAAGGGGTGTATGGCGGACTGTGGAAAAATGCCGCGTTCAAAAGTCAGTCAATATTGGTGAGTGTGAGGGAAGAAAATAGCGGAGAGCATCTATATTTTTGTTGGAGTACACGTTTAAATTCTTAATTGCCTCAGCCACACAAGTAAGTCCGTCAGTTTGATGAGTTTGCATATGTCAACGCACGTAACTTTCACGACCAAGTACGAACAGCAGCAATAAACGGCATTCCACGTCTCGCCTTTCCAAAACCACAGCCGGATGTGCACGCAGCATTGACGTTACGATTGGGGGGGGGGGGGGTAGAAAAAGCGGGTAACGATTTAGAGTACAGAGTACTCTACTATGGGAGAGCTTAAAGCCATCCAGTGGGCCTCACAGGAGGAGATGCGCTTTAGAGGAGCAGCGAAGTGAACTGCTATGAGGCGTTTGAGAAGAATCATTTGGGACTCGACATTTTATCGCTGTCTTGTGCTAACTTGGCCACATGCTCAAATCTTCAACTCACCGGTACAACAGCCGCATACCACAGTTAATCGGTATCTACGCATCGTTCTGCGCAGATGTACGAGTCACCTCCACCTCCGTGACGTGGTTGTCACGGGCAACGTCTTTCAAATTGTCACGCACGCAAATCATTCAGTGCAGCGAAACCAAAGGACCGTGTCAAACAACCAAAACAGAGAACAGGGACAACGGTATCTACCAGGGTTGTAGCCATGACCCTTCTTTTTTAAAGACGATAGTCTTTCTTGGGGACCTTCGACGAAAAAATTTTGGTCTGTCTGTCTGTCTGCCTGTACAATTGTCTGTCTGTTTGCCATTACCAATACCTCAAACGGCACCTAACGGCCAACCCCATCCACAGCACCCACCAATATTGCTCAAGGTTCAGCGTTCATACTTGTGCGATTGTCAATTAATACGCAATTATTGCGCATATCTGAGGCACCATAACAACTCGTCGATGTTTTGTATGTGTGCCTTTATACTAAAGAAGGCACACACAAGTAATTCTAAGGACCGTAGTGTTTATCACGCTGCGCTGACAGTGCAACGCGATGTTCAAAAAGGTATACGTGCTTCCAACGCTTTGCAAAGACGACATGGTGGTGCCACCTGCCAGTCGCTTTTTCCACTAGTAAAATTATAAATTTTTGTGGGGGAGAACAAAAACTCACCCCCTTTCGAGCTTTCCCATATCTGACCATCCTCCTCAAGACTCTGGGTGACTATTCTAGCCACCCTAACTATAGCTTTACGGAAGGAATGGCGGCGCACAATGGGTGACACCTCCTTTGTTCTCTAGAGATATGCATCACCGATGAGCTAACGCGACTCATAGCCTGAGCTGCGTTTGACGGAAATTCTGGGACCGTATATAGAAAACATGTTCTACATTATTGCGAAAGCAATTATATGGACACTCTCAGCTGGATTTAGCCGCCGGCGTCTGCGTCACTCAAAATTCATAAAAATACACTGCCACAGTTAGATAAACGAATCACTATAGACAACGATTTATATACTATTATTTTCATGCTCGCCTAAGGGTTTCGTTTAAAAACGCGGTAAATTTGATCTCGTCGTTCTTGCGCATCGGGAGGAGAGGCGGACAGCTCCTGGACTTATGCAGTGCCAGAGCCGTGCTCATCTGTCTGTACAAGGCGTTGACTCGCTCGTGCCTCGTCGGGTGCGTCGAGAAAACCTTCCTCGTCTTCTTGGTTCCCATGACCCTCTTCCGGAGCATTGCGGCGTTGTCGAAGTACACTATACAGTAACGGTAGTCGAAGCAGGCTTTTGCCATCATGCGCAGCGCCAAGGAGTCGGCCTCGAGCTCCATCGAACGACTATGAGGTAAGAACACGGCGTAGTGCAGGGCACGACTCACGAACCACGGTGCCAGAGTGGCCCTGACGTTGCCGCGTATCAACGCCAGAGATGAGATCCAGACGAGCGTGTTGAGCCTGTCGAGGAAGAAGGCTAGGGACTCCTTCTCTAGGGTGTGCTCAAGGAGGCAGTGTGCCATCTCGTGGGCCACGACGAACGACAGTGTGTCGTCGTTCTCGCAAATCCTGAAGAGCCCGTCGAAGAAGTAGGCGTGGCAGTTGGGCAGCATGAACGCGCTTGGCGTCATGGAACGGACGATGACGAAGGACCAGTTTCGGTTTGCGGAGTCCGGTAGGTCCAGGTTGGCGGCCAGCAATTGCTGCGAGACCCTGTTTAGGCGGCGATAGTTACCGTGCTTAGAAGGCTTGCGCGCCGTGACCCAGAAGTAGCGCTCTATCAACCTGACGTCGTCGGCGACGTGGTCGGCGAACTCCCGGGGTGTGTAGGCGACGAAGCGTCGCCGGTTGGTGATGCCCTGCTTCTCCAGGTGGGTGACGTAGTAGCACACGAGGACGAGGAAGGCCACCGTGAGTGCGGCGCTGGCCCTGCGGACGCTCAGTTGCAACGTGTATGAGCGGATCCAGCGCACGGTGGCGCAGGCCACCAGGAGGGTGGCCAGCTGGGCTGCGCCTTCCAGCGTGTTCAGCAGTCGAAAGGCGCCGCGAACAAAGTGGGGCGCCCCGACAATGTCCATCGACAATCGCTGTCCGCATGGTCCTCGGGATTATAAGGACGGCGTCCTCGGTCGGCCCTGGCACTGTTCCGGTTCAAGGGACTCCGAGCAGTCTCGACAACCGTGAGTCGGAGCCCGTCCAGAAGGCATGGTAGCTGCTGTAAGCCTCGACAGCCGGGCCCCGTGGCTCGACTTACATCAATAGGACGTACATGCCCACTACAGGGAACTGATTTGAACGCAATCGGTAGAGCGGGAGAAACGGTACAAATGAAGAGAAAGGCAAGTGACCAAAAGTGAGGAGTGCGCGTTCGCACTTCCCTGACCTCCGCCAGCCAAGTGGCGAAGGCCAGCAGTCCCACAAAAGACATGCGAGTATGCCATGAAAAGGGGAGACGTGGCGCTACTGCTACCCACGTAATGAGGATATATATATATATATATATATATATATATATATATATATATATATATATATATATATATATATATATATATATATATATCATTCGTTTTAGACCCACCATTAACTCTTGCTGAAATCGCATCTGATAGCCTGCATCGATCCCTGCTCAGATATATCAGATATACCCCATTTTCGATTTTTGGCTTTTCTTTCTGTATAATTTTTTTCAGTCCAAAAGTACTTTGTGTTTGTAAAACCATAAGCCTTTTACTTAAATAACCTGCTGCCCGGTTCAAGCCCGATCCCCCTTTGTGGGTGTGCTCCAGAGTAACAAGGATCATCATCATCATCATCATCATAACTGCCCTGCCCACAAAAAGTTGTCTTTTCACCCACTTTTCTTTCTTCATATGTACATTGCAATTCGGTCTAATAACTTCCCCTGTACTTTCTGGGCATTATTGTCTGTTGGGTCATATATATATATATATATATATATATATATATATATATATATATATGTGTGTGTGTGTGTGTGTGTGTGTGTGTGTGTGTGTGTGTGTGTGTGTGTGTGTGTGTGTGTGTGTGTGTGTGTGTGTGTGTGTGTGTGTGCACGATGCACCCTAGAAAACGAATTGGTCACAGATATTCGCAGAGTTATACGAGAAAGCCTCACGGTGCCTAACATAGGCGTGCGAAAGGTTCCCCTTCACTCGGGAGGGGGGGGGGTGAAGGTGGGGGGGCGAGGGGGGGCGAAGGCGAAGACAGACGTGCGATTTCCCGTGTGATGCGGCGTGCCACATGCGACGTTTTGGGACACACGGGGGCGAAGAAGCTATCAGCGGCAGGCTCCACCCACCTGCGGCGCCTCGGCATGCAGGGTCGAACGACTTAGTATCCTCGTAATGAGGCTCAAAACAAACATTACACAGCCACGTGTTGTTCCCCCCCAAAATAATTAATAAATCGCATTCGTGAACGACAAGCACGTCGTAACCACGGCAACAGCTGATTATTCACGACTCCGACAGGTAGGCCTAGCATCGCGGGCGCCGGCCGTCGCCTACGCCGTTCACACGCGAGCTCATCGTCGAGCGCTTGTTTTTGACAACACTATCAAGCATTGCGCTCGTATGTAATGCGTTAGCATACATTATTACTTTATCGATGCCATCGATGTGAAGAGCAAAGGTGGGAGCGAAGCGAGCCAGCGCAGAGACGCCGGTAGCTGTGTTTACCTGCGAAATTACCTTGCATCGCTGCTCACGATCTCTGATCTCCCAAGCGGTTTCAAAACGGGCGTTGTCGTGCAGAAAAGGCACACTTCAAGTATCACTTTATTCAACGCGGAATAATATCACGTCACCAGGAAAACAAACGTACTCGATGTTTGTAACGCCGCCGCAGTCTGCGATGTCAGCAATCCGCGCTCGCACCGCTCCATCGGCTCGCCTGGAGCCTTGGAACACGGGTGATGGAAGCGGCGACAGGGAGATGGCGCCACTAGCATCGTGACGCCACTCGTATGCTCGCTCACGAAACGTCACGAAACGTCACCACTCGCATCGTCGCACCGCACGCCGAATCGCAGAGAAAATCGCACGTCTGTCTCGCGCTTCTTTTTAGCCGTCTTTTTATTCCACGTCGATTGAGATGGTTCTGCACTGCAAGGCTGTCTGCCGCTAACATGGTTCTGCACGGCCTCCTACGATCAGCCCACCTTTGTCCAAGTGACCATAGAGTTTCTCCCAAAAGGTATCTTTGTGAGAAACTCGAAGCAAGCGACGATGTGGTGTTATTACGTCATAACATGACGTCACATTGTGTGACGTCATGAAGACAACACAAATTTCGAAGAAGTGATATGGTGACATATTCGCAATCATTTTGTGCATCACTCGTGTTGCCGCCGACAGTCATCTTTTGTGTTTGATGAGGCGTCTAAGGCTATCACCTTCACAATCCCTCGAATGTTATAGACTGTTCTAGAGTACGCGGCGAGGAACGGCGAAGAAGAAGACGAAGCAAAATGGCGTAGGAAAAAACGCATCTGCGAGCATTTCTTATTAGCGCGAAACGAACTTATTCGTGTAAGATGTCGGTCGCGTGCGTCCTGATCTTCAATTTGGTCCTGGTGATTACGATGGTCCAGCCCGCGTCTGCTCGAAGACCACAGATATCTTCGGAGGAGCTGTTCCAGAAGTCAACTGTAAGTCGCTTCTTATCACTTTATTCTTGACAGTAAAATGTGCAATAAATTACACGCTTTCAGCGTGTAGCTCCGGATTACCAACTAACTCGAAGCAACGCCTCGTTCACTAGAGCTATAGTCTGGTACCTTGTCCGCGACTTGGGGAAGTGTTTATGTTTATAAGAATGAAAAGAAAAGAAAAGTGAGCCCCACAACTGTCTGCATCAGGGTGCGACACCTCAACAGTAGCTCACAAGGGATAGGGGTGAGGAGAGATTAAAAGGACAGGAATAAAGGTGTAGAGAGAGAGATAGAAAGATAGATGCGCTAAGCCAGCGAGCGAGGACATAGCAAGGGTATAGGAGAGATAGGAAAGATGCAAACACGGTCACAGGAGTCCGAGGACGGGGCACCACTTGGGAGAGCTCTTGTCGGCGTCAGGAGATGGCGTAGGGCAAGTCCAGTAGGTCAGAGCTACGCTGTCGTCGGAGATCGGCGTCAGGAGATGACGTAGGGCGAGCCCAGTCGGCCAGAGCTACGCTGACGTCAAAGATCGCGAGGGCACAACCGGTCGGCACGGAATCCAGCAAGCGAGTCCGTCCATGACTTGGCAAAACAAGAACGTAATGACACGAAGGTATTTAAAAGTCAGTCCATTTATCACGCGTTTTTAACGTCCCGGAGCTGCTATTTAGGCTATGAGGGACGCTTTGTGGAAGGAAATTAAGGTGACGGTAAAGCATTGCATAGTCATGCATAGCATAGTATGCAATAGGTACATGTAAGGGGAAGTGGGCATGATGGCAAGTAATGTTATTTGATTGATGTGTGGGGTTTAACGTCCCAAAACCACTATATGATTATGAAAGAGTCGAGGGCTCCAGCAATTTCGATCACTTGGGGCAACTTATGCGGGGGTGAGGATAGAAAGGAAGAGGGGAGAAGGTGAAGCATAATGTAGCCAAGTAGAATATAGTAGAGCGATGGGTTAGAAATAGAAGCGAGGGCGAGGTGGATGGTAAGAAGGTGGTGGTAGTAGAGGAAGAAAGCGCCCAATTTCTGCAGCCCGGTAGAGAACACGGCGGGGCGCCTGGAAAGAAGGCTGAGAGGGGGAACATAGCATAGCTATAGTACAGCAAGGAGTGGGCAAGGGAAGGTTGTGAAGGAGGGGGAGGGAAAGGCCACCAGCTAGCTGTCTCTTTAGTTTTCCCAACACTAGCGCGTAGCTACCCAAGTTTTTTTCCTCCGTGTTTTGACAGGAATTTCACCACACATGGTTCTTTAAAGGAGCTGCAACACTTTTTGAGCATGCTCAGAAAGCGCTGTCGATCGGTAGTCGAGGCTCATGAGAGCACGTGAGCCAAACACAGCGCAGCCCATGGCCTGGAATTCACATTAAATTCTCATAGTCAGCTAAAAATTCATTTCTCTTCTCCCGAAAAATGACGCTACAGGCCCTGATATCACTGCGTCACAGGCCAAGTATCAGCCATTGGCTGACTTGAGAATGGAGCACTCGTTCGTTACTGGGGCCGCCGCGGGAGGCCGCGACCTTGTCTATGCGTGCGCACGCGATCTCACTGAAAAGCCGCACATACGAAAAAAAATTCCGCCATATCCACGAAGTGAATGATGATGAGTGGGCGAACCTCCGGAGGTAAACCTGGTAAACCATGAATCCTCTGTACATTTTGCCCACTCGATTTTATTACATCGCTCCCCCTAGCGTACGTCGCCGCACTAAATCGAACGATTGCCTTCAACCAATGACACGCGCCATATGTGACATCATTCCTATTTTATAAGATCTCGCGTCTTTCATCAACTACAAGTACCGCTTTCTAGTTTATAACATCTTGCATCTTTTCATCATCAGCTACAAGTACCACCATCTAGTAAACACTACAAGAACTAAACGAGAGGTGGCTACATACAGGAGACGGTACCGCCATCTAGTGAACACTGCAAGAACTAAACTAGAGGTGGCTACATACAGGGGACGGTACCGCCATCTAGTGAACACTGCAAGAACTAAACTAGAGGTGGCTACATACAGGCTACAGGGGACGCACAGCCCACGCCCTAAGGAGCTTCGCCCCTAAAAAAAAGGGGGGAGAGACTGGTCAAGGTCACCAGGCGCGCGTGACGAATTTTCTTTTCCTGAGCCAACCCTCCCTGCTTAGCTTCCAGCGCTCCCGTCGGGAGGTGAGAAGAGAGTGACAAATATTTGTAACTCTGCTCGTACTGCACGTATTTAAAAAAGAAATTGCGGCGGTGAATTCGTGAGGCAAGAAGCTTTTTTTTTTGGTGAATCCATCGTACGGTTACTTGAAAAACGTGTTGCAGGGCCTTTTTACGTACACTCACGGCGCGCTCGTTGGCACGCCGATTGTGTTACTTAGCGAGCATATCGCACTTCTCAAC